GAATGAAAACCTGCTGGCTCCAGCATGGGCCTCAGGACGTGGGGCTGGCGTGTGTGAACATGTCCCCTGAGCCAGCTTCTGCAGGATGCTGGGCTTTCCAGGGCCTCCTATTTCCTTTATATTATATTATATTCCATTATATTAACATAATTAGTATGACTTCCATGTATCACTTAAACATTTGATTCTGTGAAAGAGAAAAACATGTCAGCAGAAGCAGCTCTAGGATCCCCACACTACTGCAAGCAGTACCACGAAGCTGCATGACATAATGACCCAGCCCTCTTTATTAGAGGAGGCAGAAGAAACACCTGCCGCCTGTCCCTGTCAGAAGGCGTGGCCTGATGTGGGTCTCTGGATTCTCCTCTTAGAATTTCTAAAATGGGGATGGCAGGAAGGTCCCCTGGGTCACCACATCACCAGACTCACAGTGGGCCACCAGCCCACTGTGCCCTGTGTGACTGGACCACTGGGAAGTGTTCACAGTCAGCTTTTAGAAACTTTGGAGCAATGTATGAGTCATTTTATGTTTGTTATATTGAAATATCTTTTAAGTGGAGTGTATATTTGTCCACCTGTACAGCATTTTATTTTTCTACTAATTTATTCTCATTGTATTTTATGAAAGCATCAGTTCAAGTCAGATGAAAAAATAAAATTAAAAAAAAAAAACCCTTTATCCCGCAGACAGTTTGAGAAGTGGTCCAGTACAGTGGTTCCCAAAAGTGTTTTTGGAGCTCACATGGCTTGAGCAACACAATTCTCAGGCCCCCCTCAGGGCCTCAACATGAGAAAGCCTGGGGGAAGATCTAGCAGTCTGCACCCCAACAAACTCCCCAGGAGATGCCTGTACATCCTGAAGCTTTGGAAGCCTTGAGATCACCTCAAGGATAATTTTACTGTCTTCCAAGAGTCGCACAGTGAGAAACAGTATGACATTCTGTACTCCTGCATGCAAAAGTAAGGTAACACCACTTTCCTAAAATCAAAGTAAATTTACTTTGAATTTCCATACACTTGGGCGACTGCTGACGTCATTATCAGTCAGGATTAGGTTCAGCTACAGGTAATGGACATGAGTCACAGAGGCTGCAGATTTTGGAAAACAAAGTCAGGACACTAAGGTTCTCTTGAGGTACATTTTGTTTGTCCTTCACCCCAAAACCTATGAACACAGCCTGTCCACCTTCTTAATCAGGGAAATCTCAAAGAGGGTTCAATGAATAAGGGTGATTTATCACCCTTGGTTACAACCCTGGAGCCAAATCAGTCCTTAGAAAGTCCAAGCCCGCTCTGAGTAGTTTGGAGTTTTTTAGACGCCAAACTCCCACACACCATACCACCTTTTACCACTGGCTGCTGAGGTCTTTAAAACTTCTCTCGTAGGTTTTGGAACCCAAATTATTTCCTCCTCATTTTCATTGATCTATGTAGGATTCTTTCACCTATCCTAGGGATTTATTTTCTTGTGTATTTCCTTATAAATGGAATCCTTAAGCAGAAAAGAAAAGACGGGCTAAATCACACATTACAAAATTCATGCTCATGCCTTTGGCAAGGAAACAAATATCTAGTTGAAAAATTAATCTTCTAGGAACACTAACTAGGTTCAGAAATTAATGGTTTGTGCAAAACTCTGTCTCTTTCCAGCCTGCTATATTTCTATAGGTTCCTTCTTTACAGTACTTCTAGTTTATAGCTAAGGGATGGTGTATCTATGCCGCCATGAGCAATACTTTACAGTATGTAAGTGATAACATAGGTGCCTTTAATTTAAAATAAATTATAATACATTCAATTATATATACAATGTCTACCACCTTACTAGTAAATTATATTAATTTTTTAATTTTTATTTTTAAAGAGGGTAAAATTAAACATAATGAAACAGATCATAAAAGAGACACAGATTTCAAAACAAGACAACCAGAGATCTTCACTGTCTTATTATCTCTTGTTTTCTTCCAAATAGTTGTTCATATCTTCACATACAATGAATTTATGTAAAACAAAATAGTATAGAGCTAACCAGAACAGGATGCTGAAGGCATTTTAGGTCTTCAAGGCCAGACAGTAAGGAAGTCAACAATAGCTGCTATGATGTCTCTCATTGTCTTCAAAATAGCTGTCCATACCATCATTTATGTTGAAATTAAATAATACAAAACAGACTAAAATCACTCTGAACTAAGAATAATAGTAGTACTGGGTTTCACATCATGATGCTAAGAAATCAGCATGGGGTACGATAGTGTCTTTTTTTCTTCAAAGTAGCTGCTATTTCATCGTGCATTATATTATATATTCTCATAAACTTTTTAGAAGTTCTATGCATGCACGAGTGTCTACGTGTATATCTATCTTTTCTGTATGGGGTGGGGGGAAACGAACCAAGACAAACCAAAACAAATTCCTAGAAAAAGACATATAAACAACAATAGCAAAGAGCCCAGCACACTGACAATATCAAAACAAGGTGCATAACTAGGGTTGTTATTTTACATATTGATCTGCAAGAGTTCCTCAAGTCACCATACAATAATATGCACAATTGTTCCAATCCTATGAATGTTAAGTATTTTGTTCCAAGAACTTATAGAGTTTGTAGTGCAATCACCTTAGCTATCCTAAGTGTGTTTATATAATTTTAAACATTTTTCTTTTCCCTTTCTTTTTCCTCATTTTCCCTGAGATATTATTTTTTCCCTTTTTAAGCAGATTCTTATCCTTTCACTGTAATTATTGAGTATTTTGTATCTTATGTACTCTTGTCATTTCTTACACTAAGGGGACTATTTGGTATTTACACATGTAAGTTTGATTTATTTCACTTATGAGTGAAAAAAAAAAGAACTACAGGCCAATCTCCCTAATGAACATAGATGCAAAAATTCTCAATAAAATTTTGGCAAACAGACTGTAGCAAATCATCAAGAAGATCATACACCATGACCAAGTGGGATTCATTCCAGGAATGCAGGGATGGTTCAACATACGCAAATCAATAAATGTAATCCACCATATCAATAGAGCCAAAAATAAGAACCAAATAATCATTTCTATAAATGTATAAAAAGCTTTTGATAAGGTTCAATATTTATTCATAATAAAAACCTTACAGAAAATTGGAATAGATGGTCCTTTCCTCAACATGATAAAAGCCATTTATGACAAACCAACAGCCAGCATCATATTAAAAGGCCCCAAACTGAAGACCTTTACCTGAAAATCAGGCACAAGACAACGATGTCCATTATCACCACTCTTATTCAGTAAAGTGCTAGAAATACTAGCCAGAGCAATTAGATAAGAGAGAGAAATAGAAAGAGTGAGGGTAGGAAAAGAAGTTAAATTATCATTATTTGCTGATGACATGATACTCTACATAGAAGACCCCCAAAACTTCACTGAAAGGCTCCTAGGTATAATAAATAAACTCAGTAATGTAGCGGGATACAAAGTCAACACTCAAAAATCCATAGCATTCTTATACACTAACAACAAAATCACTGAGAGAGAAATAAGAGAAGCCACACCCCTTCACACTAGCCTCCAAAAAAATGAAATACTTAGGAATCAATCTAACAAAAGAAGCAAAAGATCTATTCTGGGAAAATTATAATATCCTGAAAAAGAAATCAAAGAGGACCTCAGAAAATGGAAAGACATCACTTATTCATGGATAGGAAGAATAAACATTGTGAAAATGGCCTTTCTCCCAAAATTGTTATACATGTTTAGTGCAATCCCAATAAAAATACCACTAGCATACCTCACAGATCTAGAGAAATCACTCCTAAAATTCATCTGGAACCAGAAGAGATCCAGAATAGTAAAGGCAATTCTAGGCAACAAAGGCAAGGCAGGAGGCAGCACAATCCTTGACTCAAAGTCACACTACAAAGCTACTGTAATAAAATCAGCATGGTACTGGAATAAAAACAGACCTAAATATCAATGGAATAGATTAGAAGATACAACTACAACTACAAACACACCAGGCCACCTTATCTTTGATAAAGGGGCCAAACACATCCACTGAAAGAGAGATAGTCTCTTCAATAAGTGGTACTGCAAAACTGGCTCTCCATATGTGGAAAACTAAACTAGATTCAAGCCTATCACCATGTACTAAACTAAAGTCTAAATGGATCAAAGATCTAAATATTAAAACAGAAACACTAAATTTGTTGGAAGACAAAGTAGGTAGAAATTTTGAATTATGTAAAATTTTAATGTGCCAGAGAGGTAATAACATATTTGTTACACTTTATATTCAATCGGTTTTTCAAGTTTTCGGAAGACAAAATTTGATTTGCTCTTATGTTCCCTAGTGCCCTATCTGTTCCCTGGTATGAAGAATCTCCATCTTTCATTATAGAGTCAAAAACTCCCAGAAAGCATAGGATTCTTGTACATAGATATACTGAAGATGGTTTTCTTTTTTCTTACCTACTTCTTTAACAAATAGTTTCAGAAAAAAAAATGAGAAGAGGGGAAATCTTATCAAGTTAAACATTTTGTAGGAAAAGCATGATATGTAATTTGTATATCAAATTCATTCATATTTTTAACTTATATAATTGAAAAAGTTTTCCTTCATTTTAGTTGCATAGCTGTTTGTTTGTTTGTTGCTATGTAGTTCAGGCTGGCCTTGAGCTCACTATGTAACCAGGATGGCCTCAAACTTGCAGTGATCTTCCTGCCTCAGCCTCCTGAGTGCTAGCACTACAGGCCTGTACAACCACCCTGGCCTTAGTTGCTCAGCTTTAAAGAAAATAAAATTATTTGCAAATTCACTTAAAGGCATTCACTTTTGTTTGTTTGTTTTTTGTTTTGAGAGAGGGCCTTGATATGTAGTCCAGGCTGGCCTTGAACTCACCTTGTAGCCTAAACTGATTTTGAACTCCCAACTATCTTCCTGATTCAGCCTACCGAGTGCTGGGATTACAGGCATGCACCACCACACCCTACCCTAACCCTAACCCTAACCCTAAAAACATTCACTTTTGAATATTGTAGTTCATTTTATTTGAACCTTAAAGAAAGATACCATTTTGAAGCACTGTCTTTTATATCCACACGATTCCTCCCCTTTATGAGGTAATATATACTTGTTACATATTCAAACCAAATGAAGTATGTAAAATAAAGATTTGGCTATTTTTTGGTGCCAAATCTTTGGAATTAATCACCCCAAAATCAGGCAAATTGAGATGGCTTTGGTAACAATAGGTTGGCTGTTAGTGAATTTTTTTCAGCCAAATTACTAGCAGCACAGGCGGCACTGGGTCAGTGTGGATGAATTCTTTATGAAACTCAAGATGCCACTGAAAATAGATGTCATTTTGAAACATCTCCTCCCAGTGAGTTGTGCCAAAACGTTCTCTTTTGGCTTTGGCACAGTGAATTGCTGCAGGACAGGCTCATTAACTCAAGGAGAGCTCCAAACTTTTTTGTGTTAAGATGTTTCTATTTAGCAAGATGCACCAGGCAGTTAAAAAAACAAAACAAAACAAAACAAAATTCTGAGAAGAAAACAAGAGGAAAAAAAGAGTTCACATGTTTTTTCACATTATTTAGAAATATACCCATACGCTAAGGACTGGACAAATCTTACATATACAGATTAAACCAGGGAGACGTAAATCTTGTTCCTCTTGGTTTTTTTGAGCTTTGCAGTTCACCTGATCTTTCATTTTGCAGCAAAGGCAGAACCTTGGTGGTGGCAAAATGGGATTACCTTTCACAAGCTTTTTTGACACACTCAAACCAGGATCTGTTAGTCTTCCTTCTTGAACCAAGGAAGAAAGTGGTTCAGAAGAGATGGGAAACACAAGTGCCTGCAATTTTTCACTTGATTAAACCCTGACAGCCATCCTGCTTGTTCCTGAAATGGAGGGGAAAGAAGGTTAAAAAAAAAAAAAAAAAGGAACCAGGTGAGAGGGAGGACAGAGAAGCTGCACCGCGTTTGTGCAGCCCAGGAAGGCAGTGCGCGGCCACCTGGCTCCCCTCTCCAGCCTTTGGCTGGCCGATGGCATCGCTCCATCAGATTACATGTCCGCTGAGCTCAAACACAGCTCGCAATCTTGCTCCATGTAGCTGCCTGGGCAGCTGCTACCAATTGATCTAGTTTGGATTATGAGAATGATAGTACATTATTTATTCATTTATTCAACATTTATTGAACATTAACTGTGCCAGGCATAGGAGAGGCACCAGGGGCAAGACACGAAATTTGTATTCTAATGAAAATGAAACCTTTTATTACACTTTCTGGCCCTACACATTTGCTTGGCAAGCAGTAGATGCTCAATAAATTTTTTGTTGTTGTCGCATTGCACCGAACTGGCTTCTGAAGAGCATTCCGGTGTCAGTTAACCCAGCTGAGACGTGAAGTGTGGTTATGGTTCTCCCTCAAATAATGAGAACATTTGTTCCACCCTGATTCACTTCCTGCTCAGAGTTTATTAAAAATACACTCACTGTCAAGATTCGTCCTCAGCTTGATGTATTTCGAGGGATAGGTGGCTCACCAGAAGAACCATACACAGAATCCTACCTCACCTCTGAAATCTGACCTCTAGATGTCTTTCAGATTCGCTGATTTGATTGGATTCTTGCTAGAACAAAACATCAGACTCCAACCTCAAAGGAAATAAATTAGGCTGTGCCACGCGAGGACAAATGGTTGACATTGCGCTCTTGGGAACATCTTGTGTGCAGCTGTGAACAGCTGAGTTAGTGCCAGTTAAGCTGCGATAGCATCACTGGGGAGAGAGATGAAGGGCGATTCATTCACGAAGTGCTGTTCAAAGGGTGTCCTAAAGATTTATTTTCTGCTATCTCCCTTCTCTCTAAAATTTACACGGGGGTGGAATGATTGGATGCTGTAATTCTGCTGGAATTGCCGCTCTTCTCCATCGGGATTGGTGTTGCAGGATGATGTGCACTTGGCATTCATAAACAGAAAGGAAACAAGAAAAAGCACCCTTTCACTTCACAGAGAGGATCCCTGTCTGACTGTCTTGAGTGATGCTTTAACCAGTTATTCATTTCCTTATGAATAAGCCTCAGTTGTACTCTCTTCTGGCAAAGAAAAGCACAAGATGAACAGACGAGAAGGATTCCCTCAAAGAGCAGCTTTATCACTCTCATTTGCAGTTTCAGTCCTCAGAATGAAGCTATTGGCTGTGTGTCCACTGACCACAGATGGTCACTCCTCGCATGGACAGGGGTGGAGTCAGCGACTAACTGGCAATGAAGGGGGCAAAGGAAGCAGCAATCAGAAGGCGTCTTGTAGAAAGAGACTGAAATGGCATCTGGACATGTTTTAAACAGACTTCGTCTGGGGCTGGAAAGGGGATGGCGCGTGTGAGATGCTCTAGCACCCCAGAGTGAGAAAGCAAAGCAGCGGAATTGAAATGCAGTGGGGGGACCTTTAAAGTCACTGTTCCCAAACGCAGATCCAGTCTGTGTCCCGGATGCCCAGAGACATCCCTCCCAAACTCACTGGGCCTCCGAGCTCCTGGCCTCATTTATATGCAGAATCCCTGGGAGAAGAGTTTTTCTCACTGCTCTCTAGATGAATCCAGAGTATGTAGCTAGATTTGTGAATTACTAGTAGATCCTGCCTGAACAAATGAACAAAAATAAAGCAGATGAAAGACAGAGGAAGAAAAAACTGCATGCAAGGGAAGTAAAACAGAAGTCTCATCTTTTTGGTTGATGCCAATCAGTACATCACAATTTTGTAATCTCTAAAGGCAACTGGCCCCCCATAGCCACAAATGCCACATGTATGGAGGCCACCAACCATGCATTAAAAACAGTCAGGAAAAAAGTGCATTTCTACAGAATGTGTGCAGACTTTTTCCTTCTTACAATTCCCTGAATGCATTGTAACAATTATCACATTGCAATGTTTCCATATTATAATGAGCCTGAAGATGCTATAAGGTATCCCAGAGAATGTATGTAGATTCTCTGTAAATACTACATCACTTTGTATAAGGGGTTGGAGCAGCCACTAATTTTGATATGGGGAAGTTGGTACTTCCAACTGGTACTGGTACTGGTGCTCCCTGGGTACTGAGGGAGGCTTATGTATCCCTTTCTGATCCAATTTTTTTATTCCTAAATCTTTTAATATTTAAATTTTGAGGAATTTTGTGAGTGAGGTAAGATTCATAAAGTCTCCTTCACACACAAGGCACTGCGAGAAGACGCCCACATGAGAGGTTGAAGACGCAGGATCTGAGCCCAGAGCCTGTGTCTGCCGGATCTGTCTTCTCCACGCAGGTGGAAGGCCAGGGCAGACACAGTCTGATGAGCTGTGCCTCACAGAGATGCATGACGGGGTGCAGCAGGAACCGTGTGGAAGGCACAAAGAGAAACCCACGAGTTCCTGTGGATTTCACGGGGAGGCTGCAACCCGCACGGATGCAGAAGGGGGCTCTCTGGAGGCGGTGATGCCGGCTTTGAAATCTCAAGTGATGAATCAAAGCCAGTCAGAAAAAGAATGAAGGCCATTCCAGGTAGAGCAAAGCCTCAGAGAAAAGAGAAAGTAGCTCCTGACATCTCTCAGGAAAGGGTGAATGGATACAAAGTGGCTGGAGTAAAAAACTATTCAATTATTGAAACTTAACTATTAATGGTTATGTAATTGAGACTAATTTGAGGTATCACAATCATTTATAGTAACTGACAGAAATGGTAATTGTGATGTTCCAATTTGTATTGGATAATGAGTCATTCCACATATGAGAGGCATCAAACAATGCATTATTTATGCTCTTGGAGTCTGTGGGTCGGGGATTCTGACACTGCATAGGTGGGCAACTAGGTCACTTCCTTTTGTCAGGTCTCAGCTAGCGGTGATCTGACCACTGGGGCTAACGGGTCCACTTCAAAGAGGCATCCACGGCCTTAGCAGTGGGCACAGGAGACTGAACATAAGTGGGACTGCTGGCAAGAGCAGCGCCCTCTGCAGCAGAGAAGCAGAATTTCTTCAGAAGTGGACCCGTGTCCCTGTGAACAGATCAGGGTCAAGAGAGTGCCTTGATCGGCCTTGACAGATACAAAGTGTTGGCTTCAGCGTATTCTATCACTGCGCCAGGCACAGCCTGTCCAGACTCAAAGGGAGGGGGCCAAAAAGCACCAAAGAGTTTAAAGCTACTATGTGGAATTAGCATCTATGGAACACTTCCTGTGTACCTAATACTATCAAATGTCCTCAGATCTCACCATAACAGTATGACACATATGCCATTATCATCTTCAGTTTACACATGAGGGGCCAAAGACTCAGGAAAGATGTGTAACTTGTCTAATGTCCTAAGTAGCTAGCCTGGGAAGTGAACCCAGATTTGTAGAATTTGAAGCTTTAAACTGTATCTCCTTGGTATTCTTTGTGACTCAGTCCTGACTTCTGGTCCACTTGCACAGTAGAATCATTGTAACTATTTGCAAAAATAAAGTCTTCTCAATTATATATCTAAGAGGACTCCACTGGGAGGCACCATCATGGTCAGAGAGGACCACACTCCGTCAGAAGCAGAATCCTTGCAAACCGACGGCTGTTCAGGCTTCCAGTCTAACAGCTACATGTCATACAGCTGTGGAAATCATTCTCCCTGGATGCGATCATTCCCCAAGGCCTTCTTTCTGCATCCTGAAATCACGGACAACTATGAAGTGGAAAATGCTTCTGGATCAAAGTTCTCTCATCACCAGGAAGAAATAATACGAGTTTGAAACGTTCATACTTTGGAATATGAAAAATATCTTTTGATTATGTTGTATAACATAACAATTGGAAGAGGAATCAGTAGCATCTCAACACAAATAAATATTTTTCATTTATTCATTAATGCCAAAAATATACAGGGACACCAACTATGTACCAGGCACTGGGCTGGATTATGAAGATGTTCTGGAATGAGACAGAAAGGGTCCCCCACAGAGTTTATGGTCTAGTGCAGGAGACACAGAAAAACTAAGCAGTTATTTCCACAAACAATAGTTAATATCATTCCCAAAGTATTGTGAAAAAACCTAAGAAGGTAACAAGATAACACTCAGCAGAAGGGTGAGATGTGTGGTGTTGGTGCAGACCTCTTGGGGACATAATGATGGACCTGAAACCCAAGGGAAGGAGGACAGGAAAAGCCACAATCCTGTGTACTTTACTCTGACTTACTCTTTGGTTCCAAATGCTTTTCTTTTTAGTTCAGATTGTTATAACTGGAGTCAAGCTAAAACATCATTAACACATGAATGCAAAGAAAATCTAACTGGTATTTAGTCCAATATGGAGTTTGTGTGCCCAGACTCTAGAGGTGGAAACTGTTTCTTGACACATGTAAACCCTGAGATTTAAGTGTAGACTTTATTTCCCAGTGGGTGAGAAATATAAAGTCTAGGTTCACTTCCAGCTGTCCATCTCAAAGGGCACAGCAGCCAGCATGCCCTCCACAGGCTTGGGCGCTCATGCAGTCCTGATGGGCCATTCTGCCCATCTCCCAGAGCCTCCGCCAGGCAGCTGAAGTGGGTTAGAAATTTAGGACATCATCTGAATTTTACTTTTCAAAATGTAACACTATTTATAGTCACTTGTTCTTAGTGGTGGTGATGGGGGTCTGAATTTACAAGCTATGATGTTATAAGGTAATGCTCAGGTGGAGGGTGGGGTAGAAAGTCTAGTTTGTGTGTGTTCTAACATGGTCACCTGTGTGCACTTACTGACCTAAGGAGGGCGTCTTTAGTACTTGAGCTCCTGGCATGTGCCAGAAAGAGGTGGTGACATATGGATTGGGCACTTCAGGTTGGTGCATTTTAGTCATTTGGGGAATAGCTAAAGCTGTAATTATTTTTTAAATATTTTTAAAGATAACAAAATAAAAATTTCAAAACACAACAGTTAGGTATATACATTGGTATTAGGTATATTAGGTATATACACAATGTATGTATACATTGTTATATTCAAATCAGTTACTCAGAGTGGAAAACATTTGCATTTAATTGTCCAAACAATACTAGCACAAACCTGTCTCTTCAATGAGCTCAGAAAAGTCAGTAGTGTAACTATTTTTTATGTACATAGTTTTTTAGTTTCTCAAACTAGTGAGACAACACAATGTTTACACATAACATGTCTGATTTATTTCACTAATAAGTATGGTTTCAAGTTGCATTCATTTAACTATAAAAATCTCAAGTTTATCCTTCTTTATGGCTGAGTAGTAGCCCATTATATAAAAATACCACATTTTTAAAAAATCTATTCCTCAGTTGGTGGACATTTAGGTTGTTTCCAAGGTTGGCTTTTACAAATTGTGCTGCTATAAACATGGGTGCACATATATCACTGTGATATAATGTTTTCAATTCTTCTAGGAAGATACCCAAAAGGGAATAGCTTGGTCAAATAAGACCTCCAATCCTAGATTGTTGAGGAATTTCCACAGTGATTGAACCAGTCTGCAGTCTCACTAATAGTGGAGAAGGATTCCTTTTCCTTCACAGCCCCTCAAACATTATTTATTGGTTGATTTCTCAATAATAGCCATTTTATCTGGTGTGAGGTGGAATCTCAGTGTTTACACCTGTAATTATTTGCAAAACTATTCTTTGGAAATTGCTTCAGGTGTGTGTATATATCTGTAATGATGTAAATATGCATATACTTAATAGTATAATTGGCCTTTTTACCCAGGCTGGGCATCCCTAACCTGAAATCCAAAGTGCCCCCAAGGCTAAATTTTTTTGAACACTGACATGGAAAATTCATACCCTGATCTTTTTTAGCTTAGTGAACACAACTTTTTTTTTAAATGAAAAAAGAACAAAAACAATGATACAGAATTTCAAAACAAAATAGTAGGAGTTTAACACTGGTTAATACATTGCATATTGCTATCTTCAAAGCAGTTGTTCAGATTACAAGACATAGGCATGAAAAAATTATCAAACAATGAAAGCACAAACTCTTCTTTTTGATGAACCAACAGAGATTGGTAGTATAATTATCTATCACATATATGTATATGTATATATATATATAATTTTCCCTTATTTCCTTTCTCCTTTCCCCCATCCCAGTTGTTATGTCTTTCAAGTAGACCACACTCTCCTCACTCTTATAATATCTATTATACATTTTGGGTCTTATTTATCTTTCAGCTTTTTACACTAGGGAGACAATTTTATGTTCAAATTTATTTGCATTAAATCCCCTTCAGGAAATGTGCACAGTGTGTACACAAAGCATAAATGAATTTTGCTGTTTAGACTTGGTTCCACTTACATGATAGCCTATTATGAATATACAAGCTCCAAAAACCTGAAGAAGTCTAAAATTCAAAACATTTCTGGTTCCAAGCACTTCAGATAAAGGATACTCAACCAGTACAGATTTATTAGTTAATCCTCAAAACAGCAGCTAGTAACCTAATATATATTCCCCTTTCACTTATTTCTCTCAATAACCCTACAAAATTGTTTCTGATGTAACACTTTATAACCAGGAAAGTAATAGTGAACCAACTAAGAGCTGTGTTGTCCAGCAGAATAGCCAGTAGATACGCATGGCTATTTAAATTCTTTAAAATTTAAGGAAACTAAGTAGCCAACCCCTCAGTCATGTTAACTTCGCTTCTTGCATTTACTAGGACATCTCCATCTCCATGAAAGTCCCGCTGGACCCCTCCGGTTCACGCAGGCTGGTGTTGTATGCAGTGGCTGCGCTGGCATATGTGTGGTAGCCTGGCTGGCAGCCAGTCTCCACAAGTCACCATAGCACCTCCCCCAGTTGTGGCAACCAAAAATGTCACTAGACGGTGTTAAATGTCTCCTGGTTAGAGGGAGTAAAATCATGCCCATGTGAGAACAAATGTCTTAGTCTGAGGTTCACAGCTTTCTTGGGAACTTGAGTGAGTTGCTTTGAAAAGCAACATGGGGCTTAACTTTCCCCATTGGTAAAAGAAGAGTTTAAAAACCAGTACATATTTCCCTGGGAATTTGTGAGTGTCAGATACTGCAGGTAAATAGTTAGGCAGAAAATAAAGGTCTACTGAAGGTTTTTCAGGAGTGCAGTGCTCTGCCTCTGCCCTTATCTGAGGGTCAAGGAGATTAGCTAATATGGTGACTGGCAATTGGAGATCATAATTCCTGACCTACTGCCACCCTGTGCATGACCTTGGGCTTCCATGTTTAGATAATTCAAGGGCTGCCGGCAACGACAGATTTGATTGATTATTTAGACAACAAAACCCGGAGACTTGGAAATCCTTAAACAAACAAACAAGACTAACAGAATACAGAAAACCATCTCTGCTTCATTGTCTAAATGTTGTCGAAATGGGTTTGCAGAAGGGAAGATGTGACATACATAGGTACAATTTCCAATGGTGACTCTATTTATTATAGATTGCTAACACACACTAATTAAAAAGAGGGGAAAGAGACACAAAAGAGAGAGGATGATCTTGAGAGCATATGGAATAATGAGGCAATTAGTAAGAATTTTAGTGAAAATAGGATCAAACAACTAATTACAGTGAAAATCATCGAAATATATTAATAACTATCAATAGCTTAAGGGAAATTTCAAACTCACTGTCTAAATACAGCTTCAGCCCACCAGTGTCAGGCTCTGATTACCATGTTACTATGCTGACAGATAAGTAAATGAATATATTCCAGGTTTTCACTTCTTTTTGTCTTAAAAAACTAAATATAGGTGCTTTAGTTTTATAGGGCTTATAGGAGAAATTGGCAGCAGTATATTCTTTCCTTGAGATTTTTTCATAGTTTTAATATAAGACCGAGTTGGATATCACCTTCTGATTACATAAAATTGGCATTGAAGTGGAACACATAAATATTTAACCATTATTTTATTTTTAACTGATAAAAAGAGAAAATCTGTAAAGTATACAACTAAGAGATCAAAGCATACAACTAAGCATTGAAGAGAAAAGTAGAAAAGACTTATGTGCTGCTTAACGATGAAGACACAGCCTGAGGCCTGCATCTAAGGAAATTTTGTTGAGAGCGGTATAGTATACTTACACAAATCAAGGTAACCATGAAGTCACTAGGTCGTCACTTTTCTGCATCATAGTATATGCAGTCTAATTTTGAGTGCAATGACTATAGTTCATTTCTTGGATGTGTGCTTCAATTATTGCTGCCAGATATATCATCTATTTATTAGAAATGGCTCTGGTTTACCCTTCATTTAATAACCAGTTTACAGTATACCAGGCCTCAGGCTAAGAATTAAGCATGGCTTCCTTATTCCATTTCATCTTCACAGCAATGGTACGGAGAATATTATTTCCTCTGATTTTGCAGATAAGAACACTGGGAAGTGAAAGGGTTTGGATAAGTTACCAGTAAGGAATGTTGCAAGGTTTAAAACTCAGGTCTGCAAAATTTCCCAGTTTCTTTGGTCACTGTTTGTATTGGTTGGTTTCCTTGCACAAAATGCCTGAGATAATTCAGTTACAAAAAGAAAGGTTTCTGTTGGCTCGTGGTTCTGGAGGTTTCAGTCCAAGATCAGGCAGCCCATTGCTTTGGACCTCTGATGAAGCAGCACTCCTTTGGTGGGAATGTGTGATGGAGTCAAACCACTCACTTTGTGAACAATGAAGCAGAAGAGAAGAAGGGACCTGGGTCTTATAGTCCCCAGCACTGAGTGGCTAAGCACTGTCTACAGGCTCCACCTCTTGGAGATCTACAGCATCTTCCAAAAGCAACGCCCTGTGGCCCAACCCTTGAACCCACGGACTTCCTTGGTCCTTTAACAGCCAGTCTGTGGCATTTGTCCTCTGCCAGCTACTGATCGGTAATGGGGAAAACATACTTTTTTGTTTGTTTGTTTGTTTTGCTTTGGAGATTTAAACTCGGGCTTTTTCATTGAGTTGCATACACAGCTCTTTTTATTTGGGGACAGGGTCTTGCTAAGTCTCTCAGTTGCCCAGACTGGGCTTAAACTTGTGATCCTTCTGCCATGGCTGCCCAGCAGGCTGAGAGGAAGGTAGATTCTCTGAGGTGAAGAACCTATAATCAGCTTTCTCCACACCTGGCCGCTGTCCTCTAAGTACATTTGCCACAGTGATTTGCTCGGCCGCATTGTGGATGAGTCCCTCTTTACACCCTTCCTACACAAAATATTTTCACCTTAATATGACCAATTAGCTAAAACTGCTCAAAATTTAATTTTTTCTCAATTTCCTGTTCATTGGAGAAAAATTCTGATAGTCATTTTTAAAAGGAAATGAGTTTTACATGAATCAGTCACCAGAAGCCCAAGAAAAGATATTTAAAATAGTCTCAAAGAAAGAAGTCACTAATTTAGAGTTACTGAAGAGAGAGATGATTCTGAATTAATAAAGTATCTTAATTAAAGTATCAGTAAAAAGAGGATGTCTTATTATCTTTTTGATATCTGACGGATGAATGAATGACTCAATCAGACTCCAGTGTAGAAAGGATAAAATGATATTAGCTGGGGAAGAACCCGGTAGAAGGCTTGTTGTGCTTACTTTGGTGCATAAACAAGGCCATTTGAATACAGTTTTCCATTCAGGTGTAGACCAGGAAAAATGGTTACTGTAAGCTGGTGAACATGTCTTTTGCAATCTTTTTATGTCATTCTTTTTAAGGATAAGTAGCTCAAAGATAATGGATTCCTCAGACTCTACCTAGATGATTACAACTTTTGAATTGTTGGGACAGAAATTCATAAATTTATCACTGATTGTAAATTGCCATTGTTTGGGTGTGATATATCAAGCAAGGATCATGGTTGGGGCTTGACCCTCAGAGTGGCACCTGGCCTCCATGATGAGGCCATTGGAGTATCATGGCTCCATCCTCATGCAGCTCAGTGCCCCTGTTCGGCATTTAGTTCTCTGGAAAGTGGCTTGTCATAAATGAGGCCAGCCCACGTGCTGTCCCCTTCTGCCTTCTGCCACCGTTGTAATCAGAGGTCAGATAGATGGATCACACAACCATGGGCTTTCAGTCTGGGAGTCCAAACTGGGAATTAAATAAACCTTTTTTTCTCTTTAACGTAACCAGCATCAAGTACTAGTGATAGCAACAGAAAACTGAACTATACAATAGTAAGAAGTTTAAAAAAATTTTTTTTAATAAGAAAACAAATTATAGTCATTTCTGCTTCCTTGAACAAGTCAAATTTATTGTTCTCCTCATGCCAATAACATATGCAACTAGATTCTAACTTGATATGTGGACATTTCTTTCTGTTGAGGGAAAGCATTCAGCCTTATCTGTAATGTATTTTAAACTAAGTAGCCATCTAAGTGACACAGAACAGATAGACTAGCCAAGAAAGTTCACAAATAATCTTACAGGAAAAAACCCCACCATGTAAGTTAATTTGAATGTATTGGGCATATATTCCTCATTAGTAACTTAACTAAGATCTTGGGTTTTAAAACAATAAGTGCACAAGAGGTTGCATCCTCTGGGTCAGGAATTGGGAGACAATTGAGCGCTTCTGGGCTGGCATCTCTTATGAGGCTGCAGGCAGAGCCACCCGTGGACAGTCCCCAGTCACGAACAAGTGAAGAGCTCCTCAGAGCTCATTCTGTGGTGGGAGGCTGGAGTCACATGTCGTGTAGGCACTGTCTTTCTTATTAAGACATGTTTGTGTACTTAACAATTTCATTTTCCGGTCATTTTAGTTCCCCTCTTTCCCCCTTCTCCTCTTCTTCTACTCCAAATCTCCTTCCCATCTGCACACAGTCTGTCCTCTTTTTTCCCCACCATCTCTCTTTTATTTTGCTCTTGAAGTAATTTATACTTTGACTTTCTCATATAAGAGAAATCATGTGATATCTAACCTTCTGTGTTTGGTGTGTTTTACCTAATATTATGGTCTGAAGATCCATTCATTTTCATAAAAATGACTCAAGCTTACCCTTCTTTATGGGAGCGCAATATTCCACTGCGTACCAGTAACACATTTGATTCATCCAATCATCTCTTGATGGAAATACAGGGTGCTTGCAAGATCTAGCACCTTAGAAGTTGCCTACCACTTTGTGTTTCTTGTGTGCTGATAGCTGTATTTTCTGATCCGCCAAAAGGTAACAGTCTCTGTAGCCTGTCCTTGGAAACAGAAGGAGAAAGCAAACCAACAAAAGATGTTTCTAAGTCATATATTGGAGCTTGGAATTTTCCCTGTGAATCTTTTCAAGTTATCTATGGAAGAAGTGATCTATTCACTGACTTAACTAGTCACCCAGTGCTGGCACCCTGAGATGTGGACATCCTGGTCGCTTCCATGGCCTCATGTGTGAAGCACAGAGTACCTACTCTCAGCCCAGGTTCTGGAGGAAGCTACATGATCCTTGAGATGTAAGACATGTCCAATACAGGGGTAATAATGTCCCAGAGAGGGCAAAAATTAGTTAACAGATGGTAAAAGTCCTTGCTTTTTAAAAGTATACAGCACAGATGTATTAAAACTACATGGGAGGAGGGTGAGAAGGGAAATGACCCCAGAAGTCCCTTGCAGGGCATAGGACCAATGAATTAAAAAAATGCAAGGGAAGGAAGGCTTCAAGGTGGGATGGGCTGGGTCGCTGACTCAGCGCTGGGGTTGGGGAGAAGAGGGGAGTATAGATGGACCGGCCTACATTCTACTCCTTGGACTGCAGTTTTGCTCCTCAATCTAATTTTACCTAATTTCCTCTCTTGGGGGGTTCCTCTCAGTTGATGATCCATGGAGAGCTCCTTTTTTGTGTATTGCATAGTTACAAATGCATTTAAACATATTTCCATGAGGTTGCTGGAGAAGCCATAGCTTGTGTTTAGTTTACCGTTTTGGAGTGAAACGGATTCACAGTGAAGTAAGGAAAAATCACTCCGTCTTTCCTCTTACTCCTTCCTCAGGCTCCTGTGCTGAATAAAGGTGGTCTGTGAGTCCAAGTGAGGACAGGGGAAGGCCCAGGAGACTACCGCGGACCTGTGGGGGTAAGTAGAGGATTTCGTGCCCCGGTGGTGGCACATGGTGGTCTGGTCCGGGTGCTTCTCTGGACTATCTGGATTTCCCTGTTCTCCTTTTTTAGCATGAATATTTGTATGAATGGATTATGTTGGCTCCAGTTTCAGCAGTATTTGATCCCGTGAGATACCATCTCTATCTTGACAATTGTATCTTCAAGTGAAGGCTTTGAGCCTCCTGTTTGCAGGTCAAATAGTGAGTAGACAGCAGGCTGCTAATCTAAAATTGCTGCATTCATATAAACTGCCTATCATTCCATTCTTGGAAAATCTCCATCCCTGGGGGGTCCTAGTGAATAAATACCAGGGCTAGTGTCCAGTCCCTGTGAGCCTTCTGGGCCTTGGGAGACTCTAAAGACACACTTAACCCAGATGACAGTTTTAAGTAAAGTCATCTTGTTACATGCAACTACATAAAATTCCCATTTTATAAATCAAAAATGCCTGAATAATGGCAATGCTATAGAGTTGAAAGTAGCTGAGAGATCAATCGTATTTAATGGAAGGCAAACCTTTTTGTTAACTCAATTTTTAATCTATCTTATGACATTTACTTAACAGTCACCGATTTTCTTTCATCATTTTCTAAACCCAAGGTATAACTAAATTTGAAAATGAAAATAAAAAAGTTTGTCTTCTTATAACTTAGCTTGAAAAACAAAACATAATTTTTCTGGTTTTGAACAAAGTGTACTCACTAAAAGATGTGGCCCACTCACGGCTTTACAGGAATCTGCTTCATCTTACCACTTTTCCCATAGAGTCTGCAGCACTTAGTGGAATTGGCCCAAGAAAATCAGAAATTCCAGCTTAGCACGCCTAGAGAAAAGCACAAGAAGCCGAGGAGGAAGGATCAATCAGCGTGTACTGGTTCTTCCATGTTAGCCTGGTTTCGCTAGGCCTACTGTGAGAGTTTGAGAAAAATATATACAGCCAATTTCTAAACTAGAAAATCAGCAAACTAGAGAAGAGGGCTGAGTCTTAGGGGAAGGAGAGAAGGGAAAAAAGCATCAGGAGACTTGGAAGGAGATGGGAAAGAAGTAGGAGGTTCAGGACATTGAAGAATTTTGAGAAGAGAGTTGGCAGAAAAATCGAGAGAGGGTAGAAGAGAAGTGTGGAAGGACAGCAAGCAGCCGGGAAGGGCCACTCATGGTTTCTAGTCCTGACTCTTGGATGGCTTCCTTGAAGAAATAGGAAGTGAATATTACTTTTATTTTAATTAATGAAATATTCCCTGCTTCCTTCCAAAAGAATTTAATAGCAACTGGGAAAGCCAGGAACATTCCAGAACTTCTTTGAGAGACAGAGCAAACAGCTTAGATTTCTGCTTCTTATTCTCCTTCCAGTGCCACACATTTTTCTAATACTAAGCTAGAAAAGTGATAGGGGAAAGTACACGAGATTGACTATGTTCTCTTCCTCCGCAGCTTCCCGATCACTTTGGGTGTTTATGTATTTCTGTGAATCACTAACCTTCCTGGTAATCCTCAGGGACAGGCTGCCTTCTGGGAACAGCCTGGAATGTGGATTAGGCTGTGTTGACAAATAATGTGGTCTGTCAGATCCTCCACATAGCACGACCACCTGCAGAAAAAGGCCCACACTGCCCACTGCGCTGCATCTCCTCTGGCACATGCAGGCCTGGCTCAGCTTTGAGGAAAAGCAGTCACAGAGAAGGACTCGCTCCTGGGTTGTCTTTCAAGTGTTTTCTTATTTACCTGTCACTGTGGTCAGGCATTCCCACAACAGAATCAGCATCTGAACCATGCCATAAACAAATAGAATAAATAAGTAAATAACCCTGCCCCAAATCCCTTTCTCAGGGCCTGTCTCTCAGAACATCTTTCTTTTCTCCAGAAGCAAACTCTAAGGCCAAAGATAAGGATGTTATTTGTGCACACCCTGGCTCACTGGCAGCATACATTTCCAATCTGCCAAAAAATGTGAAAAGGGAGCATGCTGAATTTAGCTTCCCCAGAACCGCATTCAGCTGGATGTCTGAGCTCTGGTAGGGCTTGTAAAATCTCCACTGTTGCTGGCATCTGCAGTCAGAGCAAAGAGACAGCTGTAAAAAGCATCTTCTAGCCAAAACGTGATTTGGGAAAGGTCATTTTATTACGTGATTTATTTATATTGTTTTCTCCATGGTACAAAGCGTTCTGGTGTGTACACAGAGCCAAGCGGAAGAAGAGAAAAATTTAAAGAAAATCTCAAGGCTCGCAGCTCACAGGCACCATAGGGGCCAAGGAAAGGTTTGCTGTGTATTCTGAAGGCTGTCCTGAGCCTGCCACTTGAACAGCTTTTCTGCATCAATCCAAGGAAGTCCTACCATGATTAAATCGATCTTCCCCTGTATCTTCTGAGGCACCATTAGGAGAAAAAGTAATTAGAAATTGTCTTGTTTTTTTCATAGTTAGCAAGAACACTCATAATTTCCTGCCCTTTCAGAAAAGAAAAACAATTAATCAAATTCTAAATGGTTTCTCTTCTTTACATGGTATGCTGTTGTTTTAAAAGTTAAATGTTTTCCCTTTGAGATTTCTTTTCCCATAGAGCCCCGCGCTAGTTACATGCTAAGCAGAACTACCATATTTAATATGGAAAATTGAATATATTTTTAAATGGAAACACATGGGCAGTTTTGTTTATCTTCACTTGGCTTTATCATTGTGTTCTAAACATGCGGGTGGGATTTTCAATAACAAGTTTATAATGCTGACAAGTAGGATGCATTGGATAAATACTTCTTTTACCATATATTTTATTTAACCTCCCCCAATGGGAAAGCTAAGCCAAATTTTTGCTTTTTGTTTTTTTGCTTAATTTTTGCTCCTGTTCATTTACTTATAAGTATGCCTCAGATACTGGAGTCAGGCGTTGGTAAATGAGAAACCAAGAGTCTGCCCTGCCTTCAGAGCATAGGGGGTGCCTAGACTTCTTTAAAACTCTGGCTCCACTTGCTGAAAAGCGCATTGCAGAAAAGAAGCAGAAAGACCAACTCTGCTGGAAGAGTAAAGAGCATGGGTGTCCCAATCGACCCAGCCCACCTGTCGCTCTATTTTTTGCAGTGACAAACGTCTATGTCGGTAGTGGCGTTGGTATCCTCTAGCTAACTGTAAGTTATTTGATAGTGCGGATTCTACCCTGTATCTTCAAAAGTGGCTCTCTAGGAAATGCGTGCTGTACAAATCATATTCTCTAATAATGTCCCTGGATGTGTTTGAATGATTTGCTTCTGAGATGCTGCAGTCTGGTGTCTCCATGGAATTCCTTTCTGAAAGAGACTTAACAATCGAATGTCAGGAATATTCACAGTACTGTCAGAATTTCGGCCTCAGGTGACTGAAGCACTTTCTCAGCAGTTTTCCTTGAAGAAGCTATTGTTTGAACTAGGAAAACATCTTTACTTTAAATTGAAAAAATGAAAAGTTAAGTATCAATATTGTTTGGAACAGTTCCATGATGTGTTGAATTTTAATGTCCTTTGAAAAATATTTCACTCTAACAGCGTCACTTTTAGAAGACAAGCTTATTTTTTAATGGCCTTCTATGCTTTCTGGCGAATTGCATTAGTTCCCATAGAGCACCGACCCAATACAGGACTGGTCTCAGCAAGTCCCTTGTGCTCTTCTTTGCTCTGGGTCAGAAAAGTAGATCAGTCATAAAGATGTGTCATTCAGAATTAGAAAGACAATGGTGTGCCATGTCAGACACCCTGTTGTCTAGCTACTTGGGAGGCCCAGGCAGAGGGTTGAAAATTCAAAGTCAAACTTGACAATTTAGCAAGGCCCTCTCTCAAAACTTTTAAAGATCTGAGGACATAATTCAGTGTTAAAGCACTTGACTTGCATATGCAAGGGTCTGTGTTCAACCCCCAGTACCTCAAAAGAAAAAGAAAGGGGGAAAAGCTGGATATGGTGGCACACATGCCTGTACTTCCAGCATTCTGTGAGGCTGAGGCAGGAGGAGTACAAGTCTGAGGCCAGCTTGACCGATTTAGTGACTTTATGAGGTCCTGTCTCAAAATAAAAATGCTGGAGACGTAGATCAATACACAAAGGCCTTGAGTTCAATCCTTACTACTTGATAAAAATTAAGATTATTTGGACCATCCTAATAGTTGGAATAGAAATGATAACATATGAGAGGCACAAAATACTCAAAATGCAAAAATAATCCTATGGACTCCATCAAATTCATGCCAATTATTTCTGCATAGCCCTCAAACAAATACAAAACAAACAATATCAGAGCTGCCTCAAAGTCTCACCAATCATTTAGATTATTTAATGTTTGCACACTTTGTAAAATCAAGAGCCAAACCTGGGAGGAGGCTAGAGACAATGAGTTGGCTATTGCACTAGCCAGAGTATCTTCCCTTGAGTTCTTTGTGGTCATTCAATAACTAGATCATACTGGATCAAGTCCAGAGCCAGGAGATTTTGTGTCAGTGTCTTTACTGTGGTGGAGATCATGCTTCCTACCCATAATCTAAGCACAACACATCAACTAATTAGAATCCAACTAATGAAAGATGCCACTGGCTAAGGAACACAAAAAATAATACCATATATGTGTTCATTATTTTACAATTCAGAAAGAAGTTCTCACAAGTTTGGGTATCTGGCAGATGATATCACCTTCATTTTGCAAATAAGTACGTGAGTTCCAAGACAGGTCAAACCACTACTTGATCTGTAAAATTCAGAGCTGGAAATGGAGCTCTGGCCTTCTGTGAGTTGGGAGAGAGGCTATGTGGCTGAACATACCCACTGTTTACTTGTGTTTCCAAAAATTTCTTAGTAACTTTGGCAAAGTCACTAAACTTTGCTAGGTCTACCTGGGTTTCCTCATTTTTAATAAATTTAATTTAAAAATTCAATGTCATGAACATCAAAAGAGACCATTACTGTTAGGTCAGTTAGCTTGGAAGAGACTCAGACATTCTGGCTCTTACAGGTTATCTATGT